TTGTTTGAGAAGTTGTCTTATACCAGTGACAAATATGACAGTTCGTTTGAAGTTGTCTTGTTTATTTTCTTGTGGAAGGAAAACAATTTGATTTGGTCAAAACAAATTAACTTTAAAGTAAGAATCAATGAGACTTATCATGCCCTTAATGGTGTTCTATAGTCTATTTATAAATGAAAAACAGATTTAACATACAATACAGCCGGGCATATATTCCTGCCTCATTATAAAGTATATCCCAACTAAGGGTAAACTTCATTGAAATGTTGAAAACAAATTGTTACACATCAAGATAAAGTTTGAAATCGATCCATATTTCAAACTTATTATTCTGCTCATTTCCATTTCATGAATTATTTTGTGGTGAGTCTTTCATTTTTACTAATAATAGTTTCATTATGCATTCTGAACATTTAAAGTTCGGGTTAATAAAACGTTATAAAATAAAAATGTCAAATGTTAAGAAACACAGAATTGTGTTTATTTTTTTTTATCTCATTACTGTCATTTCACCGATGTATTATCTCCATTGACTTTAAAATACATTTTATTAGTTTAAACAATATTTATTTATAATCCTTTTATTTACATAATAAGATACATAAAATAAAGTTTACGGATTGAGTAGGAAGCAAAATGAGAACAGTACATCTGAGTATTCAAGAGGAAGCCGGAATAAAAGCTGTTTCAAGTGACCTGCCATCAATGATGACTTATAAAAATCGCATAATATTAAGTCGTTGCCATGCTTTCTGTGATATAATACAGTTTATGGGTATGACAACTTCCTTCATTTGATAAAGTTACTCAAAGATGTTTGAGAGTGGTTACCTCATTTAATTGTCCTCCGTTCATACATAAGGGATGATCAATAGGTTTATTAACCTTAAAGGAAAATATGTCAGATTCAGTCTAATTTGGGTAGAAAATTACAAGTCATTCACTTTCCCATTCAGTTGTTTTAAAGATCAGAGTTTAGAGTTGCAGCAATAGTTGTTGGATTGTCAACGATAATATCTGCAAAGAGTCTGAAATATAAATTTATGTCATAGTTTAAATAGATAAGTAAAATGAGAGGACCTAAAATAGACCCTTATGGCTATTTGTGTCATGTGTGAGGTATATGATACGATTTGACATATTTTTATATAGTATATAATAAAATGTCCTAGAGCAAAATATTTTTTTGTCATCTAAATGTTCATACAAAATAACTTAAAACTTTTTAACAGTTCTTTTTCTGTTTTATTTAGCATATGGAAAGTGTTTTATTTAAGAAAATTTAACTTTGTTGTTATTGTTGGATATATTTTAACAATGAAATTTGTTGTTAATCTTTGCTTTTATTTCTTCATTTTCCACGGAAGCAACATTCACCATATATAAAAGTACACAACAATCAGCTTAGTGTAACGTGTCTTTGAATAAAAGCAATTAAACTGAACGTTCCAGACACCACTGGTAATTATAATGAAATTGTCACAAATCCTTTAATCTTTAGACGAAGTAATCCTAATGTCATATAACAGCACAATTACATGGCGCGACATAAAATCCAAATGAGCTTTCTCTGAATCAATTGATTTTACTTGCACTTCATGTTAGACTGTTGCAGTTCTATCAATAACGCAGTTACAAATAAAGGTCAATTTGCTCATTTATTGCCATTGACAAGCGACAGAATACAAAAGGTCTTAGCGCCGCAGTGTCGTAAATGATTGAAATAGTGTCGTAAATGATTGAAACAGAAATGAAATGTAGATGAATTTACATAATTGATAACATTATCAACATTAAAAGAATTGCATTTTGAAAATCTGTCCGATGCCAAAGCGACAGAATACACTAGATGCGAACTTTTAAAATTCAAAATTAATGGTATTCCAGCGTTTTCAGATTAAAAACTACAATGTTATTATTCATCCGATATTGGGAAAAGAACATTAATTTATTCATCATATTTTTCTGAACTATACGGGCTATATTAGGACTTTTGATACACTGCAGTAGAAATCATATTTGACTGGGTCACTCGCCTGGCGACTTGTCCAATATGTTTTTCTCTAGCACTGTACAAGTCCAAATATATTCTCGGTTTTCACACTGCAACGTTAAATAATATAGAAGTAATTACAATCAAATTGCTTAATATATGTAAAATATGCATCTGACTTAAGTTTGTTAAAAGAATACATGTAAATGTAAGGAGTAAATTCCAATTTTAGTTTGAGAAGAGGCATATATTTCAAGTAATGCTCAGCGAAACAACAATAAAACTATTCGCTGAGCATTACTTGAAATATATGCCTCTTCTCAAACTAAAATTGGAATTTACTCCTTACATTTACATGTATTCTTTTAACAAACTTAAGTCAGATGCATATTTTACATATATCAAGCAATATTCTTCAACAGCATAAAATAAATTCTGGGTCATGTTTTGTTTTCCAGTCAAAACATTTTAGAAAGTAACATGTCAAACCCGTCTGAAGGTAATATTAATCAAATGAGACAGGGTGATAAACTACGATGGTATTAAAGTGGGTGTAAATGAATGGCGCCTCACTCCTTGTGATATTAAGAGACATCTTTCCGAGTGGTATTTCTGTGTTGGTGAAAAGAGGGACAATGAATCAGGTTTTGCATAATATTATTGCAATTTATCTACTGATATATATACTTAACTCGTCGAGTTTTATGATAAATGTTGCCCTCTTTGGCCATTCCTTTTTGACAAGCTGTTCTCTACGTTATTAGTTCTTGTAATATATAAACGTTTTAAGTAACTTTTGATATTAAAATGGTCAAACATCCTATGGTTGCCTTTTGTTCCCTTGTTATTAAACACATACGTCACACATAATCATTCTACCAATCCTAACTTTGATATGCATAATTCTCATTTGGACATTTATTCTAACTGATACTTTTGATTGATAATTCAATTGATAATTGATAATCATACTTCTGCATAAGCATGCCATTTTTATTGCCCGCATTTATGAACCCGTATTTGCAAATCGCAAGTATGACAGAAATCACCGAAGTTGCTAAATAGAACAACGTTAGAAGACCTAGTAATTATTTAGCTTTTTTGTTCAATGTTAAAAAGAAATATAACAAATAATGTTTTCGGTAAGAATAAGAACATAATAAAATGAGTTATCAAGTAATAAGGGGAGAAATGATAATCAAAGTGTTTAATTGTTAACATTTCTTGGCTTTGATATAAAAATCTTAAAAACGCAGAAAATACATGTATGTGCGCTTCTGCTTCATCCTGGCACACACTAGTCGTAGATATGAAGTGAAAAAATCTTCAGACAGTTCGGAGATGGGAAATTTAAGCAGCGATAATATTTGTTTTGAAACATTACAATGTAGTATTAAAGAAAAGAAACACTAGAATGTGATGATATGAGAATTTGATAACCCGTCACCAATGATTTGCATTGTCAAGATAACCATAACTTTCTAATAACAGCTTAATCATAATTATGATCGTCATATGTAAAAGTATTGTGTTATTAAACAGATTTCCATCAACCTCATAATTGTAGGTAAATTTCTCTGACATAAATCAATTTTCAACAATAGTAGACACAACGTGAAACATATAAGTAGATAATTTGAAGGCATGCACACGCCACAGGAAGCAAATTGTTATACCACGTTAACGACAAAACCGTGGACATAAGTTATATGATTGTTTTTGTAAGACTTTGTGAGAACAGGAACAAAAATTTTATGGACACTAATTTAGGTTTTAAGTTGTTTTCTCTGTATGTGACTTCCGTTCATACAGTTCATGTTTCTCCCATCACATCACGTGATATCTAATCACTTCTCATAACAAAATTAACGCATTGCGACATGTAGAATACTCGAAATAATATGATTAGTTTTGTGGTACATTTGTATCAGTAATATAAAACAAACATAAGATACTAGATAATTAGACTGTAAGGTCTCTTCGTACGTGTCCGATTCTGGTTCACTCAGTAAATATAAAATATATACCGTAAAGAACGCTAACAAGACAAAGTCAGAAATGTTGTAAGCTCGGTGTGATTAAGTCGTAAGTTCAATATGTCACCCACGCTCCCTAGCACCTGATAAAGCATTATTCAAAATTCAAATATTAATATTTTTTGCTTATCTAATATAATCTAGGATGGTTTTCCGTCAGGGGCATGCCTTTATTTCATTGAGCAAGAAACTTTTCATTCATTGTTTATTGTTCGAGAGAGTGTCAATAAGCTTATAGCGTGCAACACAAAACAACTAAAATAAATTCGTCAAATCTAAATAATTTGTCCTTGATTTTATTTTCAATTCTGTTTTACACAGTCTTCAAGACTGTGTGTGTGCGTGTGCGTGCGTGCGTGTGTGTGTTTTATTTTGGTCCTTGTTTTTATCCTTAACATATTTAATGACACTACATTCCAATATTTAAATTATTATTTAATTACATTTGTTACGTTCATGATTAAAACATAATGAATATAAATGAAGTGAACATACATTTTGTTTAAAGGTACAAATGTATTTAGAATTTTGAATTATCTTCTATGCACAATATATCATTTTTTAAGCAAAATATCATTATGAAAAAAAAAGACAAATGAAACATTTCTATTTTTAATTTTGTATGGTTAAAACGCTCATAGAGATAATTCTGGTATAAAATCATCGCTTGTGACCAAAGAGTGTGTTTGTGGTTATGACGCAAATGTATAAATTTCAATATGCTACATAAACATAAAAAGGTGTAAAGAACGCTCAATAACTCCTAAATCAGTATTTAGAAAGCATTAAAACATTCATTAAAAGTATAATTGTATCTCACAAAGTGCATTTGAATTATAATAATTTCACAGTAAAATATAAAATCACACAAATGGCCCAATAACATTTTTGTGCCAAATGATGTTAACAAATAGGAATGTATTTTGATGATAACATGCAAAAGTTATGTTATATATGTTTATCTTTAAAACAAATTGTAATTTATTCTTTCACATTGCTATAAAGATCTCTTTACTTATCAGTTTGTAATTTGTGTTCTCTTTGGGCTTAAGTGTTTTCGTAATATTTCACTTTTATAATTGTATTACATTATCTTTGTCTTTTTTATGATTATATTCATTAGTTTACACATGTGAAAACAACAAAAAAGAAAGAGAATTTGAGATAATAAATAATTAAATTTGCAAAACGTTAAAATCATGATAATTTTATAAATTGTATTAACTATTATATGTCCTGAAACAATGATTGATGTGAAGCGACTGGTGTATTTTACAGGGTACAGAAACCTTTAGACTATTGGAGAAATAGCGCAACAGAGAAAACTTGCCAGATAGATCAGCACTGCTTTCAGAGTATTGAATAACGAACGGATATATAAAATACAGGCATTATTGAAGCTATTCCACATGTTATCTAGATGATTGGACTGCTCGGAGTAATTTAACAGGTAAATTATTGTGTTTCCATTATAGTTCTTTGTTCTTACGAAAGGTAAATAATTGAATCTATGCTAAGTTAGATTAAAGTCAATATTTTGATGCACAACAAAATTTCCCATTTATTAGAATAACATTTTATTCATCAATTATGAAGTATATGAATAGGATGTTTTTATGTGGGATTTTGGTAGATAGAAACAACATTTCATTTTTGTAGTAGCATTTTTATAACGGTTCAATTGCTAAAAATTTCTTTTTTATAATTAAAATAAATTGAATAGCTAAATACTAACTTTTATAATTGTGTATTTTAGAATTGTCTGTTTTATTCTGTGGTTCAAAAGTATACTTCTAGATTTAATAGGGACTTGAATCAAGGTAACACATATTTTCGTTGGTTAGGTGAAAGTTTTATGATTAAATGATTAAGTATCTAATATTGTAAAGATTAACAAAGTTACGTTACACATTTATGAAAAGCTGTTAAAATACAAATTACAAAGGGTATTTCTTTTTGCAGACTATCAAGTGAGAGAAAATGTTTGGCAATGCAAGCAATATTTCAGATTTTATGGAACACGCAGGAAATCCTGCAGGTGCTACTGTTGTTTCACCTGTTCTTATGTTCATAGCTGGTGTTCTAGGAAATATATTAGCTCTTTACAGTCTGTATAAAACACGGACAGACGTACGAACAACAAAGTTTTACAGTTTTATAAAAGGTTTAGCCTGGACTGATCTTCTTGGGATTTTGATGACGTCACCATCAGTTGTTATTGCGTATGCAAATCAACGTGAATGGGTGGGTGGAGGCGCACATTGCCGTTTCCATGGATTCACAATGACTGTGTTTGGGCTAGCAACGCCATTAATTATTTGTGCCATGGCTGTTGAAAGGTTTTTGGCTTTAAGATGTGTATTTTTCTACTCTAGCCGTTGCCGCACAGGCACTGCACGTGGTTGTATTCTTCTACTTTGGTTCGGAACAATATTGTACGGACTTTTACCTTTATTTGGCTTCGGAAGGTATGAGAAACAATATCCTGGAACTTGGTGTTATTTGGATTTTCATTCTGAAAACGTTGTATCTAAAGTGTATGGCTATATATACGCGTGTACAAACTTGATTTTGATAATGCTTATAGTGCTATGTAATACATATGTTGTCATTACAATTTTCAAAACGAGACTAAAGCGCGCAAGTGACAGTATTTATTCTTTAAGTCATACTCTACCAGAGCATGACGGACTTATGAAAGCTAGGAACCAGCGGAAAAGGTCAAATGATGCCGAGATACAGATGATCGTCTTGTTGTGTGCACTGACATTAGTATTCACTGTATGTTATGCACCATTAATGGTTAGTATATGCCTAGATTATATTCACTATGTGATATAAGAAAAAAATAAATCAAACTATATTATATAATTATCTAAATAATGTAAGAGCATTTTGCACTAGTTTTAAGATGTTTAGACAGTTAACCGCCAGTAAAGACGACAAAGATAGTAAAAATATTAAAACAGTCATAGATGCTTCATGTTTGTGTATCATTATTTATAAATGCAGCTTTAAATATTTTGATAATGCTTAAAGTGTTTCTTTTCAGTTTAAGTGCTCATTTAGACCCAATTATGTAATTAAATAACCCGTTTTAATTTTCCGTATTAAGCTAAAACGAATAATAATAATAATAATAATAATAATAATAATAATAATAATAATAATGATAAAAAAAACCTCGCATCATACTGAATGCAGTATTTTTGTCTGTAAACTTCAATACCAATTCCGTACGATTTCCTACTTCTAAATCAATAAGAAATTTAATTTAAAAAAGACATGAATTTGTGTCATCAATAAAAAATTAAACACATTCTATGAAAAACCAGAAAAAACCAACAACAAAGAAAAAAAACAAACAAACCCCCCAAAAAAGCAAAAAACATTTTTACTTTTTTATGTGTTTTTATGTCCATGACCGAATTTGTCATTAAAAAAGATGTTTTTTGCTTGTCCAAAATATTAATGATAAATGATGAAAATAACCAATGTTTTCATTTCATGCGATCATTGTATCTCACTATGTACACATATATTGTTACACTATGCGTTATATTAAAATATATTTACAATGATACTCTCTTTACAGATCCGAATAATTATGACACAGGCTACAGGGGTAGGAAACGTATTAATAGACCTTGCAGCAGTTAGACTGGCTAGTTTGAACCAGACGCTAGACCCGTGGCTGTATATTTTGTTAAGGAGATCAACTTGCAGCAGAATTGCTAGAGGTTTTAGGAGAGTTAAGTTGAAATGTGTGACAGCACTGGGTAATAGTTCACAAGAAAGAGAACTTCTAAATAATCTGGATTTAATAAACGACCGGAACTGTGATAAGGTCCAAAATGTTGGTGTTGACAAAGAAATTCCCAAACCCGATGTGATGCAGAATGTAGATGGAGGAAACAAATCTCCGTTACCGGATATAACAAACACTGACCAAAACAAAGAGAGGAAAGATTCATGTTATGTTTGCCATTTTCAGTTTGGAAAATCTCTTTCGCCGGAAGATGACGGAATGTTTGTAAAAATTCTATATGTGAATAATAATTCATCGTCAAACATTTACAATGAAAGAACTACCGACCGGCCAGTATTATGTTCTGACAATTGTAAAAGACAAGGAGTAATGCCAGACACTTTAAAACTTCCCGATACAGCATTACGTAGTATTACGGATTCCCAATCAAACTGCAGTAAATGTAACTTAAAACATTCAGATATGGGAACAAAAGAAACATCATTATCTCAAAACTTTAATACATTATTCCGATCAGAACACGATGTTTATGTTCCACCTAGTTCTAAACGTGTCCATCAGAGGTAAGTACAAATACACGATTCATGTTTATCTTTTAATATTCTACACGAAGTTTAATTTTTATATGACTAATTTCTTAGAAATGCTCAAATGTTTTTGAAGGAATCAGCAAGGAATTAAATAAGTGTTTTCAGTCGTGTAGATTTTATCGGTATTTGAATAAACATCTCACTGATAAAAAGCAAATGAGCCGCGTCACGACAAAACCAACATAGTGGGTTTGCGACCAGCATGGATCCAGACCAGCCTGCACATCCGTAAAGTCTGATCAGGATCCATGCTGTTCGCTTACCAACTCTATTACAAGTGGAGAAACTGACAGCGATCCATGCTGGTCGCAAACGCATTACAATGGTTTTGTCGTGACGCGGCTCATATAGACAATTGGTCTTAAGTTGGAGGTTATTTTGTTCTATCTAATGACAGAAGGTTTGTTGAAAAGTTAGCTTAATTCACAGGATGATCTTTATTGGGAGGTGGTCTTTTACACAGGTTTGACTGTTCATATTATTTCATGGGTTTAAAATTGATACAATCTACTGCGTTTTTACACACTTGTTGTTAATGTGCTTTTTTATATTTTCTGTTTTTCAGTTTGAGAAAAACTAAATCCAGCAACAAATAAAAAGTGGAAGTGTTTCTTATCAAAGACAAGTAGTATTCAAAATGACATGTAAAAAAACATTATATCGTAGTTATTTATCTTCTGCTTGTATATTAATTTTTTTGCAAACATGCAGCGCCCAGTATTACACAATTCCATGATGTAAAAGTCATTTTATTTAATGTGTTACATTCCAATAAAACAAAGTTGTATTACATTCACTTGTCATTGCGTTATAGTCATAAACATGTGATTGTTACATTCCATATGACTAACTTAAAGCTTAACGAATTTTCGAAAAGAAATGATTTATAATTCAATAATATGTGTTATTATATAAATATCTATACATAAATATTGATGACGTCATAATATTGATGATGTCATAACTGTGCTTGAGAATACTGAATCATATATTTTCATTACTGCCATACAATAAATAAAATATCAAAAGTGTTTTGCATATTGTTTTACTTTCCTTAACATGGCCAGGTAGAACAAAGAAATTTTAATTTATTTGTTTTCATGTAGATGGTTTATTTTCAGTATATATATTACCTTTTACCTGTAATTTTGTCTCTTGTCAAAACATATATGAGCCGCGTCACGACAAAACAAACATAGTGCGTTTGCGACCAGCATGGATCCAGACCAGCCTGCTCATCCGCGCAGTCTGATCAGGAACCATGCTGTTCGCTATCAGTTTCTCTACTTGTAAAAGAATTGGTCGGCGAACAGCATGGATCCTGATCAGACTGCGCGGATGCGCAGGTTGGTCTGGATCCATGCTGGTCGCAAACGCACTATGTTGGTTTTGTCGTGACGCGGCTCATATATGTCACGTCTGCAAGTTCAGCTAAATAAGGAAAGCATTGGATTAGGAATCCGTTCAATCCTCGGGCAAGAAAAATTCTTCATGACTAATTTAGTATCAAGCATGTAGTCTAGCGGTCATTTGTCTATCAGATTCAGTGGAATTAGTAGTCGGTCAATTGTTTGATAATCCAGAAAAACCGAAATATGACCAAAATTGTTTAACGTCCAGACGAACAGCAAAACATACACATTATATGTCGTAAATCACAACATAATTATACCTCTACACTCAAAATTCCTCTATACCATTAATACTGTTATTTGAAATGAACCTATTTTACGATCCAATATTCTATATATAAATGTTGTCAAACAATAACTTGAGAAATATCTTAAAGGGACTCCACTGAGGTTTTATTGACATGGCTGGACTGAAAATATTTTTTTCGACATTAATATTATATTTGGTGTAAGTCTAGGCCAATATATTGTATCTTGTATACAAGATTTCATATCATTCGCCCATTCCGTTTTGCCGGAATAGTGCAAGTTTTAAAATATTGACTCAAAACTGAAAAGCGTTGCAACGCCTTTCGCTCAAATCGGGATAAAAATACGATTTTCCATATATTTTTGAGTATATTTCTTATCAACTTTTAAATATCTTTCTTTTTCTTAAGTGGCCCGGCTGATCTATGCCAGAAATTCAAAATTTATGTTTTAAGGCCTTTTTTTTACCTCATTGGAGTTCCTTTAAACACTATTCAATATCTGAATAATCACATTGTTTTCATATTCTAATGATCACATCTGATAAGAATTAAGAAAAAAATGTACATATTATGTCACACACTATGAATTAATATTAAACAGAATATAATGTTTCGGAACAAAATATTTTGCTGATGAATATAGTAATAGGTTTGTTTAACCTTCCTTGAATGTGCCAAACACTTTAATAGAAAAATTACACAATACAAAATACATTATATTAAATACATAATTCTATTGATTTAGGTATTAAAATTAATAAATATTGAAACCAAAAGCATTGTATTCTAGTAATAATAGATAGGCAAATATAGGTTTTGAACCTTCAACACTGTTTAGACAATATGTATGGCGCTTTTTTCATCAATGTAGGGACTCTTCGGAAAGTTACGAAAGACTGGTGGGGACATCTCAACTTCGCGGGTTAATCTTCAAGAATTCACAATTTTAACATCACGAATTCACGACTTCAACATACAGAATTCAGTAATTCACGTTTTCAGCTTTATGAATTGATGAGTTCAACTTCGTGAATTCACGTTTTGAACTTTGTGAAGATGAATTCATAAAGTGGAAATCGTGGACTCGTGAAGTTGAAATTGTGAATTTACGAAGAAAAAATCGTTCCTGAAGTTGCAATGTCCCAACCGGTTTTTCGTAGAAAGTTGAGTTCAAAAGGCTCGTGACAATCTTGTCAGTAATGTGCATGTCCTTATATAAAACAAGCGTTGCACCAACGTAATGACGACATTACAGAACAAAGTTCTCTAGCTAAATGACAATCAATGTCACAATTTAGTGCCTTAAAATGCATCATTTATTTCAAAGCAATAACTGCAGATATGCTATGTTGCACAAAATGTCAATACATGGAAGATCGTTTAAATTTGAGCTAAAACGTGATTAAAGTCATGCATATTCTGGAAATGTGGGGGGGGATGGGGTGGAGAGGGGAAATCGAATCATTCTAACAAACTAACAAAACCACCAGTTCGTTGCATCGCACAAATGGAACAAAATATGTATAGTTAACATACACACTTTGATATAATTGAAGCAAAGGGCGTAAAATACAATTTTCTACGAACAAACGTGGAACTTTATTTTATACATGTATTAATATTCAATATCATCTTGATTCGTCTACTAAAAACTAAACTCCAAGGTATTTTTACAAAATTTTACCAAATTATATAATCTATCAATATTCATATTTCAGACACAATTAATTTGGCAAATACCGGCTTTTTTAGGGTAATCTGTAAGAGATTTATAGTGGCACTAAACCTGCACCAGGGATTGTAGGAATTTATTCCGCCAATTTCATAGATATCTGTAACATATCATATTTTCCGCATGTCATAATCTAGTTCCAACCAACGTATTATACCTACATAATATATTTTATATAACCGCCCCATCAGTTTATATTTAAACAAAAATCAACAAAAAAAATCAACATAAAAAAACACAAACAAACAACAACAACAACAACAACAAAAACAGCAATAACAACAACAAGCAACAACAACAACAAAAACAACAATAACAGCAACAAACAAGTTAAGTTTTATCTGATGGCGATACCATCTGTCTATAATGACACATAATGACATTTGTTATAATATAGTATAATATAGCCCGCATTCATTTTGTCATATTAACCTATTAATTATGTTCTACTGAAAACTGTGTTGCTGCAAAATGAATTAATGGCTTTATCATCAAATGTTGTTTTTATCAGCAACATTTGTGGTTGTATTTAAGTTATATGAGAAATGGTTCATAGAAAAGCTTAATTTTCGTATTACATTAGCATTGATTCAGATAAAAACGAATTAATCAAATATAAATAGGAAGGTAAATATTACCCGTTGAGTATAAATACTTTCAACAAAGACCAAACATATGATCAGATTTATTGAATGATTTCAATTAAAAGTGATTAGATATATATTAATTAACAAAGATATTCATAGCACATACAGAAGTTTTTTTCTTTGCAACAAGAATGGATTCAATCTGAATAATGTATTCCATATTGCTGGTATGTATTCATCAGTTAATGAAACATGTCTCTGTTGAAGAATCATTCAGATAGATACACTCAATTTGTATCACGTCAGGAAATGCTTCACTGTTTCTTTTTTAGTTATCTATTAATAAAAAGCAATTAAATTATGATAGGATATTGATAAGACACAGAATATTCAAATTTCTTTCCTTTCACTATATTTTTCTTTAGATTGAAATTATGATGTTGTTTTTGCTATTAAACTTTCCAAGGAAGATGTTAAAGTAGTGATAATATCATCGCAATAATATGCAGCTCATTGATTGCTCTCTTTCTCTCTTAATTAGAATAAAGTGAAATATTAATTTTCACCTACTGAATGAAGTTATAAAATCAATTAACTGAGGAAGTTTAAAATCAATAAATTGTCAAAAAAAAAAAAAAAAAAAAAAAAAAAAAAAAAAAACAAAAAAAACAACAACAAAAAAAAAAACAACAACAACAACAACAAAAAACGCTGATGCATGCGTCACATCTTCGGGATTATACAATACATGGGAGCTCCCAGTTATTTACTTATTTGAAAACGAAAAAGGTTCATTTTTTCTAAAAATTGCCTTTTTACCACAAGGATATATAAACTTGTTATATAGAAAACTTATCAAAAACTTAAAGGCCTATAATACCTAAAATATGCTATCATTTTTATGTTTTAGAAACTTTTTTTTTTAATTTTGGCATCTTGTTACAGTTTCAAAAACAAATACTCATTTTCCACAAAGATGAAACATCTTTTGCTACTTTTAATCTGTTGGTATTTGGTATAATTGTAGTGAATAAGTATTTTGTATGGAAGTCAAAATACCACTTGTCTACATACCAATGTCTACATTTTTCTACCTTTATGACACATAACAACACGTGACGTGTAGCGTTGTTTTCTACAGTTGTTAAATAAACAGTTAACCCTATATTCGAAATACATTATTAAAACATCTTAATTTTGCATTTCTAAAGAAATTAAAAAAACATGGATTTCTAAGGCATAATGTGCCTTTAAATTCATCATTTTAATGAAATAACTCTGATGTTTTTGATGTTATAAATGAGAAAAATTAAACGTAAAAAGTCTTGCAAACTTTCAGTTTTGTAATTTTTCGAATAATTACAGTAAGAAAGTAGATGAGCAGGACATATATGACTAATTATCATAATCAGATAAAACAGACGAATTGATCATTTCTCACGCAAAAAGCTCACAATGCAAATTATTGTAGTTTTCATCCTTACCCGTTTCTTCATATTGATTCTGCATAAACGATCCTAATTTGTACGAAAACATTTTCTGTCAGTGATTCATTTCACTTATCAATTGCATTCATTTTTTCTATTTTATTTGTACTTCTTCTACTCCTATATCATTTTGCGACAACTCTGAACTGCCTGCAACTGCACTAAAACATTTTTGGTATAAAAGAGACCATGTTGAATTTGGAAAAGTAAAAGGAACGTTGTAAACATTGACTTTGTTATTGATGCCTGTGTCAACTTAAATTCACTGATTAAACAAGTTCAAAAATTGAATAAAAACAATGGTGTTTTGGTCCCGGCAACAGCTGTTGTTGATTAATGAAAATTTACATCTGTTTAAGTATAAATAAAATCACTGTTATTGATTACAATTACAGAAATTTTCAAACCGTTTATGTGGGCTGAAGGTTAATGGA